TAGACAAGGCCATGGTCAAAGTGGAAGTTCTCTCCTCCCTTCAGAGAAAGGTACCTCCATCTTTGATGACCCGTTCTTTCCACTGGGATCTCACTCATGGAGATCTTTCATTTAGGTTTTTTTTTTTTTTTTCCCCCCAGAGTGTCTTGGCTTTCCATGCCTGAAATAGTCTCATGGGCTTTTCAGCTGGATCCGCATGCCTTAAGGGCTGATTCTGAGGCCAAAGTGCTGTTTAGGACATCTGCCATTCTATGGGTCTGCTGTGTATCTCACTTTTATTTTTTGTTTTAAGCATTTTATTTATTTATTTTGAATGAGAGAGAGAGAGAGAAAAAGAGAGAGAGAGAGAATTTTCATACCTATTGATTCCAAGGGCTGTGAAAGGCCAAATTGTAGTCCATGAACTCAATATGGGTCACCCATGTGGGCAGCAGGGACCCAAGTACTTGAGCCATATCTGCTGCCTCCCAAGGTACACATTATTGGGAAGCTGGAATGGGGAACTGAGCCAGGATGTAGAACTCAGGTACTTGAATACAGGATGTGGACATTCCAAAAATATCTTAACTGTTATGCCAAATGTCCACCCCACGTTACCTGAACTTTGGATGGAAATTATAGATTATACAAATCCAAAATGAAACTGATCAATAACTAATTAAATGATTCTTTTTTTTTCTTTTTTGAAAGGTTGAGTTAGACAATGAGAGACAGAGACAGAGAGAAAGGTCTTTTCCGTTGGTTCACCTCCCAAATGGCTGCTGTGGCCGGCGCGCTGCACTGATCTGAAGCCAGGAGCCAGGTGCTTCCTCCTGGTCTCCCATGGGGGTGCAGGGCCCAAGCACTTGGGCCATCCTCCACTGCCTTCCCGGGCCACAGCAGAAAGCTGGACTGGAAGAGGAGCAACTGGGACAGAATCTGGCGGCCAACTGGGAATAGAACTTGAGGTACCGGCGCCACGGGCAGAGGATTAGCCAAGTGAGCTGTGGCACTGGCCTAATTAAAGGATTCTAACAAACCATGTGAGCACTGAGAACCACAGAAGGTATAAACAGTACTAACGTTACCAGAGGACTGGAGGACAAGCACAGTCAAACACAGCAGAGGATAGTTATTGCTGGCTGGCCCATGAACTCTTCCTCTGCCTGTCAAAACACTTACAAATTAGCTTTTTTTCTTTTTTTTTCCAGAAACTTTTTTTATTTTTATTTATTAATTAATTAATGTATTTATTTTTGAGTGGACAATGAGAGAGACAGAAAGGTCTTCCTTTTAATTTGGTTCACACCCCAACGGCCGCTGCGGCCGGTACACTGTGTTGGTCCAAAGCCAGGAGCCAGGTGCTTCTCCTGGTCTCCCATGTGGGTGCAGGGCCCAAGCACTGGGGCCATCCTCCACTGCACTCCTGGGCCACAGCAGAGGGCTGGACTGGAAGAGGAGCAATCGGGAGTAGAACCTGGGGTGCCGGTGCTGCAGTCGTAGCATTAGCCTATTGAGCCATGGCGCCGCCCCCCACCCCCAGAAACTTTATTTAAGGTATACAAACTTCATAAATTTCATAAATACAACTTTAGGAATAAAGTGATTCTTCTTACCCTACCCACCCTTCCACCTTTCTTCCTCCTCCCACTCCTTTTAGTCTAAAGTCCATATTCCTACTTTAGCACCCATTACTTAACAGAACAAAATAGAACATTTCAGCTATTTTAGCTCTTTCTGAATTTCCTGTAGCTGTCATTTGCTCTTAAAGCTCTCAATACCTTAAGATGAAAACCTTTTCTTTATTTAATAAAGAATGCATGAAATATTTCAGCAAATTCAAACATCTCATTGTTAACTCACTTTTTATTATGGAAAGATAAAAACAGTAAGATGCAGAATCTCCCCAAATCCTAATTAGGTCAAATGGTACTATATTTTAAGGACAGGATCAGGAAAACTCTCTGTACAGATTGGTATCTCTTAGTAGATTGGACAGTTGCTACTTCTTTGATTAATAATGATAAGGAAGAAAATGGCTGATTTTACTGTTGCTTAAAACAGTCAGTGTGAAAATCTGGAAATGTAAACTTGAAATTTTCTGCTGGGATATATTGCATATGCTGTGTAAGGTGCCAATATTTTCTTTTGAAAGATTTCTCTATGCAAAGGGGATATCTACTATATAGATTTATGCATGGAGACTTTGACACTCAGGCATGATCTCATGGGACCCTCTCCTTCCATTCCTTGTGGCTCTTGGGGGACAATGGGCCTCTTTGATCCTAAGACTACTTGCATATAAATCAAGGATTGGGCAAATGTCTCAATCATGATGCTGTTTTGCTTCAGATAACAGAAAAGTTTGCTATGTTGCTACTCAATTATGTGATGCATTGACCAGCATGAGCATCTCTTGGGACCTGGTTAGGGGCCATAGTCCAGACCTATTGAATGAGAATTGGAATTTGAACAAAACCTCAGGTGAGTCATGTATCTTTAATATCTGAGAAACACTACCCCACTTACTACACTGCCATAAACAGAAGACATTTATTTATTAAATGCAACAAGGAATCCAGGAGTGGAATGTCTCTGTGATTCGATAGGAGACTAGACTTTCACCATGTTTGTGCTCCACCATCTTCAATGTGTTGAACTTTGCCTACATTTGTTAACTGTAAAGTTGCAAGGTGGCTGCTGCACCAGTGACTTCTGGTGAAGAAGAAAGAGGAAGGGCAACCAGAAAAAGATAAAAGAGGATTTCTCTTAGAGTGTGTAAGGACCTCATAGGGTTCTGCCTCTTATTGGCCATGAGAATGGCACACAGCCAAGGTTAAGCCCAGGGAGGTTGAATGATGATATATTTAATGTTCTCTCTTCTACAGAGAAGTGAGTTGCTCTTGGGTGGCCAATCCACTGAGTCAGCCATATTTGTTGATGCATGTTGATAGAATAAAAAATAGCCAACTTAGTTTTGGAAGAAAATCCAAATAGATTCCTTTTATATAGAACTTCTCAAAGTTTTTAATAGACTAAGCTACATCTTACATTTCTCAGAGGGGAATGTAGTATGTAATGTCTCCACTTACCTGATCACCAGATTCCTTTTCCTAGGAATAAGTTTTCTGTAAAAATAAATGAAAAAAAATTGAAAAATAGATTTATAGTGTTGTGACTATCCAGTTATTCAACTCTGCAGTTTGAATGCCAAAGCCGTGTACAGTATGAAATGGTCTGGGCCTCTGTGGGTCAGGTTTTTGCCTATGGATCATAATTTGTTGACCAGCACTTTAAAATTAGCCACAACAAAAATAAGGTTAATAGTAACACAACCAAAATGTCATCTATGAATATCCATAGGGCATCTAGGTTTATATATCTGTATGATATTTTATATCAAATATCAAGTATATTTATATGTAACACAAAATTATGCATTTACACATAATATCTTCTGATTCTAAAAAACCTATTACAGAGACTTCTTCTGTGTTGTTTCCTGAAAAAGTTGGAATGGCATGCTATAAATCTCTTTAAAAATGGAAGCGTTCACTGGGGCTCTGGATATTATGCTGAGCTAAGTGCAGAAGCACTATAATGCTCTGAATTCCTACTTCCCTCTTCCAATGCTGCTCATAGAGTTTCTTAATTGCACTTTTATGTTTCTTTCAGCGCATGTGTGTTTTTAAATGTTTATGCATCTCCCCCTAGGATATAAATTGATTGAGAGCCAGGCCAGTATGTGTTCTGTTTGTCCCTGTGCCCTCAATGCCAAAGAATGAGCAAAATAAATGCACGCTGTTGCATGAAATGTTCTGGGCCAATAGCAAAGATAGGGAGCAGCAAGTGGGTAGCAGGGTGACTTCACAGATGCTGGATTGCTCCTGGGTTTCAGTCAGTGTCTTTTGTGTACGTTGACACACTGTCCTCACCACTGCAGTGGGCCATCCATTCTAACTCTGCTAGTATTTTCTGTCATGTCACAGCAATGAGAACAGATCCCAAGGCGACCACAACAATGTACCTGTGGATTGAGTTCAGGCCATTAAATTGCCATCATGCGACCTATCTAATGTCATTATGGTCCAGTTTCAGCCAAGCAGTGAAATAGAGGGAAAAATGACACAATTACTAATATATGTGTTCTCAACTTTCAAAGGAGCCTGGAGGAGGAAATATCTGCAAGAAACGTAATGGCCCATGCATGTGTGCGTGCGCGCACACACACACACACACACACACACTTCCCCTTTGGCAGCCACATTTGCAAACTTCAGGAGGAAGGGAACTACTAAATAAAGGCTTCACGGGGATGTGAGCTCAATTCACTGTCTCTGGAATCCTCTACAGCCAAATCTCTTCCAGGAGGCTTATGGAAGAAAGAGGGGACGTTGGAAAGCTGAAGTTCTTATATCATGTTACATATTTAGCCAGTTGACATATGTTTTCTTGTATTTTACTTTGGGATAAAAAAGGAGAAAGGGCAGGTTGGTGTTGAGCCACCAATTGGGCTAGAGCATATTTTTCAATGGCGTACGATAGGCCTCTCTATAATTTTATACCAAATGCTCTATATCTTGGATTTGGTAACCATAGAGTGACTCTTGGGAGTGTTATTATAGTAGGTTTGATTTGGAATCTTTCCTGGGGTAAGACACTTTAGGGATGATCAAATCATTTTTCTTTTGCAGCTTTCCCAAGTAACACCTTGCATGATTCATTGTGTTCCTATGCTTTTTTCCCCTCTGTTCTATTGTTGTTGTTCCTTAGAGGAAGGCTTGTGCAAAATGTCTATTTATTCTGGCTTCCTATAATTTTAATATTGACCTCTCTGGTCACCTAGTCCTATAAATAGGCCTGGGAACTCATCCTTGTGCCTTAATATTATTTTTCAAATGCTTCCCACCTCCTGTCTAATTAACTTCAATCAGGAAGGCTACTTGGTGGACACATGGTGCCGTAGCTCTGTGAAATGCTGCCTGATGGCTATAAACACAGCCATATGTTCTCTGTGAAATATGGCGATAATCACCAGCAACAGCAACAGCCGAGAGGAGATGAAGGCGCGGCTCTTCTCGTCCTCCTGCGTTATTTGCAAAACCTGTGAGGCGCAGCGCGGCTTACTATTTTCTTTTAACTATCACCACTTCTGCTAAATTTCCTTTGTATTCTAGCTTCAGTTCTTTCCAATGTATCCTTGAGCTTAACATGGCAGTTATAAAAGGAATATGTTTAGTACTTTCCCGTTTAACATCGCGACGCTTTAATTACGGTGGTCTCTCTTGAAATCCTGCAGTACACACGTTACATAGTTTCCTAAAACTAAGTGGTTATCAAGAAAAAGGATAAAACCATCAAAATTTTCACAGTGAATGAACAAGAATTTCTCTGCAAAGTTCAATAGATTTGCCCTGAACTAGTGCAGCTTATAAAACCCTTGAGCCTAATTGCTTTCCTGCGTTTTGGCAAGAAAAATAGCTGACTCGCAATGGAGTAGAAAGAAGAGGTTTGGAAGAAAGTGTCTTTTAAGAAAAGCTTCCAATGAAAATTTCAATCAATATTTTTAATCCCAGAAGACGAGATAAAATATGATATTATGTTCCTGCACTGAGAGATTGTGGATAGGGTTGTTTTTCAGCGTAGGTAGGAGAGCAGTTTCAGGAGAAAAGCTGTCACATGTCCCTCCCACACTTCATGTGGACAGTGAGCTATAACCAGCATGTCAAAAAAGTCTCAGCTCAGAGACTACAAACAGTGGCCCTCAGGAGCCACCTCCTCATTATTAAGCCAGTGTGTATCCCTGCTTGGAGGCCTGGCTGTGAGCCACCCACATCTGGCTTTCCCATGCACGTAGGTGAGGGAAGCCATGTTTGCAACACATAATGTACTCTCTGTCTCTCCACTTAGCATCATTTGACTGTTTATTAAAGTAACCAGGCAAAATTGAGTGCAGAGTGCTGGCACTGATTGCTTTTAAGCCTCCACTTTCCCATTTTTAAAGATGTTTTTGATGACGACTAATTTTGGTATCATTTTCTACCTCTAAGAAATACGTGTGTGTGTGTGTGTGTGTGTGTGTGTGTATTATTGAAAGCTTATTTTATTGCCTTTTCAATGCTTTGGGGGATTTTGTTAAAACAGGGCTCTTGCCCCCTCCTTTTTTTTTTTTTTACCTTGTATGTACTGCAAAGGCTATTAAACTGAGTGCAGGTGATTGATCTGTTTAATAAAAACAAGTTCTTTAGTAAGCAAAGAGTGATAAAGATAAACAAATGTACTGACTTGTCCAGTGCTTTGGAGATTCTGGTAACATGAGGGCATCAAGCAAGGCTATTAACCGATAAGTTAGATGAAACACATCAATTCTGATTTCACTAAGTTGGGAGCCATTCGCTTTAAGTTAATTTTATCCATGTTTTCTCTTCATTTGTAATACTTTGTGGGTTTTAACGGAAAATATTTAATAGTGTGCCATGTAGTCCGTAGATAAACGATGTTGGCAATTTCTCCACCTAACTGCTTGTCAAGCCCTTTAGCAAGTCCGCACCACCCTGCAGTTTATCATCTGGATTCCTAGATTGTTTTGGAAGATCACTGAGAGGACTGACTCCCAGAGGACTGTGCTCTAATCCTGTCATATTTTTAAAAACGCTGGAAAGTGTAAGGTTACATGGTAAGATGTTTTTACATAGGCATTTCTTCAGCTCATCACAATAGCGCTTTCTTTCCATGGTAACCGCCGTTTCCATGGTACAGGCTGTACGCGCCTCCAGAGCAGCTGAGGGGCTTTCTGAAGATGCTAACCCACCCACAAGTGTGAGCACACGCTCGCCTCTCGCTCTCCCTCTGCCTCTCCCTTTCCTTCTTTCTCCCTCTCTCCCAGGCACAGATTCTGCCTCCTATTTATGTGAATCTAGGCACATTTTCTAACACAAATGCACTAAAGGGAGTAAAGCTAATCTTAAAAAAAAATCTGCTTTTTGCACTATTCTGTGAAAAGATGAATAACCACTGATGGGGCCTTTTGGAGTGGTCTTCTTAGAAGTAACAAAAGCCAGTGCTGTCCTTTATGGCATGGATTAACAGGACAAAATCTTGGAAGCAAACTTTGACAGGGAAAGCAAGTCAGCCCTTTACCAAATTTTCTAAATTGATTTACATTCCTAAGGCTCTGAGCTAAGCATATAGTTCAGCATCACACTAGATGCTGTGGTGCATCAAATAAATTTATGCCCACGGCAACCTTGCTTTTTGGGGAAACCTGAGGGTGTAAGATTTAAATATATGCAATACTTTAAAAATAATATAATATGTAAATAATCAAAACATATTGCTAATTTGAGATCACTGCAATACTTTTAGGTTTGGGGGCAAACAGTGTAGCTGTTATTCTTCTCCCCCTGTTATTCTTAGGTCAGGTTTCCAAAACATTTTGGGAAAACATACCAGTGTGGATGCTGCAATGATTCTTCGTGAGATGCTATCCGTTTAATTTTCAAGGATAAACAAGACCTATTTTATTCTTTTGTTACTTATTTTATAGTTGGTATCTTACCCTTTTTCAGCATAGATGTTCACTTTGGAAACGAGTTTTCAAATACTTGAAATAAGAGGTGAGTTTTCACCGGGCCTGAGCAAATTCAGTTAGACTGAATTTTCGTGCAAATGATTATGCCCATATTATTTCTCTTTTTACTTTAATGAAGAAGGGCAGTGTAGCAGAGAATATTGCTTTGGAGTTAAATAAATATATTTGGATTCTGGATCTTTCATTTATTAGCTTCATGGATTTGGCTAAGTCAACTGACCCCTCTGAGCCAGAGCAGCAAAGTGATATTGATGCAAAGAGAAGTATGTATATTCCTGTTCAGGAAATCATGAAGATTCAATGTAATTGTGGTATGCCAAATAAATGGTGTCTCATTTATTTAACCAGTGTGTATTAATTCTACTAATTCTATGTATTAATTCTATTATATATGTGTATACACACACACACACACATATCCATGAGGGTTATATGACTGATTCCTAACCCTTATGGATTCATCATATAGACACTCAAGTAGGAAAATACAATGACATGAAGTGCATTGAAATGTAAGCTCCATGGACATAGAGCCTTCATTTGTTTCTACTTTATTCACTGCTATAGTATATCATGGCACTTATAACAATGTTTACACACAGTAGGTGTTCAATAAATATTTATTGAGAAGTTGAATACTATGATGAGAGGAAAATAGGAATATAACCAGACCTGGGATGTGAAGGAATGCTACCCAAAGGAAGTGACTTGAAACAATTCCCTCAAAAATGAGTAGGTTAGCCCAGAAACAGCAGAGGAATTTAATTATGTGAATAATGAGCCATCTCCTTTGCATTTGGTTTTGCTCTTAGGTCTGTACTTTTTCACCAATATTTCTTACATTTTTATTTGCATTGCTGACAAATTAATAGGTAATAAGTGTGGATCTTTTATTGGTTTTTGTAATTCAACCTGGACTTTCTAACTAAAGCTAACACTGACCTTGGAGTCTCAAGATCTCCTAACACTCCTGTGACTAGTTCCTGCTTGCTCATTTGAAACCCTCATCATAGTTTCATCCGTTGGACATATCCTTAGCACCAACTACATGCAAAACAGTAGCTATGCACTAAGATGGAAATAAAGACTAATCAGCAGATATTGAGCCTATTCTCAACAAATTAATAGTTGCTGAAATTTTGGGGCTTGTGAAGGATCTGTGACAGGAGGGAAAAAGGCACAGGCTGTGTCCAGTCAGCAGCTGCTCTGGCTTACAACCTATGGAAAATAGCACAACCTCTACCCACATCTTCCCTTTCTGCCTGAGTACCACTCTTGTTAATTGTTCTTGGTAAAGAGAAGCATAAGTGGATGCACTCAGTCCATCATTTTGTTTCAGGGAATGTTATTCTGCTGCCAAATGTGTCTTAACACTTTCCGTAAAAACTTTTCATTTTTCTTGGCAAGAAATAAAACACTATGAAGCAACTAAGGAAGAACTTTAAGCCTGGAGATCTCATAGGAGAATCAGAATACTGAAGATAACAGATCTGAAGGAACAATTTGGTTAGGTTTAGAGGAAAGGAGAAGAAGTGGTGGAGGAAGAGCCCACATACACAAAAGATGAAGGCAAGCCTGAGTCTGGTATTTTAGGCCATATGAAAGAAGTCAGACATTAAAAAAAAAAAAAAAAAAAAAAAAAAACACGTTTTATGTGATTGTCTAATTGAGAGTACTTCAAAATGTTCATGCAAAACAGAATTAAGAGGCAAATTTATTTAGGTGCAAAAAAAATATTGGAGTCTATGCACACAGGGACATGAAAACATTCAGAAAAATGTGTTTTATGAAAAATTTTACATAAGTTTCAAAAATACTTGCACCAAAATTAACTTATCTTTAAATTCTATGTACCCATTAACTTTTTAAAACATTAATGCAAATATGAAATGCCCATAAAAGACAAATATACAGAGACAGAAAGTGGGGCTGAGACTGGCAATGGGGACTAACTGCAAAGTGGCATGACGATCTTCTCGAGGTGGTTAAGGTATCTTGCAACTGGATTGTGAGAATGATCGCACAACTTGGAGACTGATGTACTTAAAATACGTGAATTTTCTGGTGTGTAAATTTGACTTTAATACTGTGAAAATATTATGGAAAAATAACCAAAAAAAAAAAAAGAAATCAGTCTGGTATGAGTAAGGGATGATAGGAAAATTAATATAGTTGTAGTTTGGGGGTCAAAAACCTCAACAAAGAAATACACTGACCAAAATCACATAGCTAGTACAATTAGAGCTTGAAATTGAATAAACTATTCATTCCAAGATGAGATTGAAGAAATACCCTGGTGGCAGTTGGAGAATGATATTGGATTAATGAGGAGGATGAGTTTATTTGAAATTCTTAGATATTTTTGACTCTTTGTACAAAGAAATATGCTTAAAATAGCATTTTAGAAAGCTTAATTTAGTGACAGGAGTCATGGGTGGACTATTTTTAAAAAGACAAGGTGGATTATGAAGTGACATTGTCTAGTTGAGGTGCAACTAGGTGAGAGTTAAGGGAA